CTCAAACCCCCCCGTCTCACCGAGGGCGCGGCGCAGGGCCGGCGGCCGGGGCCCCCCCCGCAGGCAGAGCAGGTAGACGGGGGCGCCGGTGGCGGTGACGGCCAGGCCGATGCCGCAGACCAGCGGCTCCGTCCACACCGAGAAGAGCAGCAGGGCCCCCCAAAAGAGCAGGTAGAGCGCCGGGATCAGCAGCGGCACCTGCGGGGTCAGCGGGGGGCTCGGTTGTGTCAATGGGAATTCTCTGGGGGCGTTCCTAGTGGTGTTTTTTATGAATGGACAGCGTGGGAATTCTCTAGGGGCGATCGTAGTAACATATTTTATGAATGGAGGGCGTGGGGAAATTGATAGTAACATTTTTTATGAATGGGACGCGTGGGAATTCTCTGGGGACATTGATAGTAACATTTTTTTTATGAATGGGACGCGTGGGAATTCTCTGTGGGGGTGTTCATAGTAACATATTTTATGAATGGAGGATGTGGGAATTCTCTTGGGGGCGTTCATATTAACATATTTTATGAATGGAGGGCGTGGGAATTCTCTGGGGGCGTTCATAGTAATATTTTTTATGAATGGGACAGCGTGGGAATTCTCTGGGGGTGCTCATGGTAACATATTTTATGAATGGATAGCATGGGAATTCTCCGGGGAAATTGATAGTAACATTTCTTTTATGAATGGGACCCGTGGGAATTCTCTGGGGGTGCTCATGGTAACATATTTTATGAATGGGCGGCGTGAGAATTCTCCAGGGGTGCTCCTAGTAACATTTTTTATGAATGGAGGGCGTGGGAATTCTCCAGGGGCATTCAGAGTAGTGTTTTTTTGTGAATGGGGAGCGTGGGAATTCTATAGGGGCAATCGTAGTAAGATTTTTTTATGAATGGAGGGCGTGGAAACGCACTGGGGGCAATTATAGTAATGGTTTTTATGAATGGAGGGCGTGGGAATTCCCCGGGGGTGCTCATGCCAACATTTTTTATGAATGGACAGCGCGGTTAGAAGGCAAAAGGGGCGTGGCTTGGAGATCAAAGTGGGCGTGGCTTCGGTAAAGTGGGCGTGGTTTATCCCTTAAAGGGGCGAGGATTCGAGGCCAAAGTGGGCGTGGTTTAACCCTTAAAGGGCCAACGTCCCAGCTCCAAAGTGGGCGTGGCTTGGACGCCCAAGTGGGCGTGGTTTAGTCCTAAAATGGGCGTGGCTTAACCCTTAAAGGGCCAGCATCACCGCTCCGGAGTGGGCGTGGCCAAGGCTCAAAGGGGCGTGGCTCAGCCCGGGAGTGGGCGTGTCTGGGCAAAGTGGGCGTGACTTAAACCGGAAGTGGGCGTGTCTTGGGCAAAGTGGGCGTGGCTTAAACCGGAAGTCGGCATGTCTTGGGCAAATTGGGCGTGGCTTATCCCGGAAGTGGGCGTGTCTGGGACAGAGTGGGCGTGGCTTATCCCGGAAGTGGGCGTGTCTGGGGCAAAGTGGGCGTGGGTTAAACCGGAAGTGGGCATGCCTGGGGCAGAGTGGGCGTGGCTTAAACCGGAAATGGGCTTGTCTGGGGGCAAAGTGGGTGTGTCTGGGGCAGAGTGGGCGTGACTTAAACCGGAAGTGGGCGTGTCTGAGGCAGAGTGGGCGTGGCTTAAACCGGAAGTGGGCGTGTCTGGGACAGAGTGGGCGTGACTTAAACCGGAAGTGGGCATGTCTGGGACAAAGTGGGTGTGGTTCAAACCGGAAATGGGCGTGTCTGGGCAGAGTGGGCGTGGCTTATCCCGGAAGCGGGCGTGTCTGGGCATAGTGGGTGTGGCTTATCCCGGAAGTGGGCGTGGCCTGTGCCGGAAGTGGGCGGGCCTACCTTGATGGGGCGGGGCAGGCGCGGCTCCCGGCGGCGCAGCAGCAGCAGCCCGGCCACGGTGACGCCGTACCAGAGGTAATTAACGAAGCCGACGTAATTAATCAGCGTGTAGACGTCGCCCGTGGCCAGCATCAGCAGCGTGGAGACGCACTGCGGGGGG